CCCAGACGGAGGGGGGAGGCCGCTCGGCCTTGCCGTAGTTCGTTTGAAGCCGAGCCGCAAAGTGCGGTCTTCACCCGGATTAGCGGAAGCTTGTCACGTGGCTGCGGGTGCCCCCACCCACAATGCCCCTGGACACCTGAGGTTTGCGGGTCCTGAAATCCACGAGCGTGGAGCCTTCGCTCTCTGTGTAGCTCGACTCGGAATTTCACAAGTGGTCTCCTAGACTGGAAAGGCAGAGGGAAAACGGTTTCACGAACGAGCAACTGTCCCTTACGTTAGTCGGCAAGAAAGGCTAATGAGGCCTACGGGGTGGGCGTCGTGCGCAGGCGCTGGCGCGGGTCGTGGGAAGACTTAACCGGCGCGGTACCCCGTGCTTCTCCCCTCCCTGCGTGGTTGCTTTGGTCTGATTTTCTGTTTAATATTGAATATTTAATACTGAATCTTCGGTCCTCCCGTGCCTACTGCTATAATAGCGTGGGTTCTGGGTCTGGAGCCGGATAGTTGTAGGGATCTAGCTTTTGAGAACCCGTCCTAGCTGTTCCGTGTCCTAGCTGTTCCATCTGTGCTGAAGGAGCACGCCGTCTCTTTTAAACTCGGTGCTTGCCTAAGCTCAGTTTTAATCGAAAATGGCTTTAGGCCTGGCGTCTGAGCTGGTGACCCTGGATTGCACGCTACTTTTTTTTTTTTTTTTTTTTTAATGAAGACGTTTAAGAGGCCTGGTTTAATTGGTTTACCGTAGGGGGGGGGAAATTTAATTGAAAATTGTCAGCTGGAATTTTTGGAAGGGAAGATACTTAGAAGTGCTTTGAGTAAAATATTGGAAGTATGCTAAATGCCCATCATTTGGTAGCAATTAGGTAAGCTATGGCGCCTTCTCAGCAACTGCAAAAAGAAAGAGGGGCAGAGCTCCTCTGAAGTGGATTTAAAAATTTTTTTTTTTTAGTTATTCGTGGACACAAATTTTTAGCAAGGCAGGCACTCCACCACTGAGCCACAACCCCAACCCCCAAGTGGATTTTTAAAACCATAAGTTAGACCTTTTGACTCCTGGTCAAAAACTCTTGCTCTTTTTTTTAAATGTTTTTATTAGATGTTGATGGACTTTTATTTTATTATATGCAGTGCTGAAGATTGAACCCAGTGCCTCACATAGACTAAGCAAGTGCTCTACCACCGAGCCATAACCCCAGCCCTATACCTTGCTTTTTCACGAGACTACATTTCTCAAGAGTAGTTTATAAAAGCTTTTGCAGTTTCATCCAGCTTAAGTCCACGACTTTGATCCCTGCTCACCTCTTTCACCTTCTGCCCCTCCAACAGGCCAGGCACTCCCTGCATTATCACCTGCCCTCTTTCTACCTGGAATGCACTGCCTCAGAGGTTCCCTAACTTCATCTTTGCAGGATATTAACTTGTCAGTGGGCCTTTCCTGCTACTCACCGTTTATTCTCAGCCTTTGGGGGCACTGGGGTGGGGTGCAGTGGGGCATACAAATACACACTCATATATTCAAAGAAAGTGGTATCAGTTACTCTGGAGAGGGTGGAAATAAAATTTACCTTTTCTCTTGTCTAATGGTGCTTTCTCCCATTACCTTAAAAAAAAAAATTGAGCATCAAAGAGTGCCTGAGTTTGTGCATAAATTTGGTCCAAGCACTTGCCCTGTGTCAGCCCTGTATTTTATCACTGGGGCTTGTAATTTACCAAGGATTGAGGAAAGGGAAGTCACAGGCAGTGGTGACAGCATTTTTCAGTGCATGCAAATTAGCTAGAGCCTGGCAGCTTTCCAGAACCTTGAAAATGGCAGGAATGGTGTGGAAAATGCCCACATTTAGATCAGGAAAAGGCCAAGCGCACAGTGGTGCATGCCTGTAATCCCAGTGGCACAGGAGGCTGAGACAGCAGGATCACAAGTTCAAAGCCAGCCTCAGCAATTTAGGCACTAAGCAACTTAGTGAGATCCTGTCTCTAAATAAAATAGAAAATAGGGCTGGGGATGTGAGTCAGTGGTTGAGTGCCCCTGAATTCAATTCCTGGTACCAAAAAGAAAAAAGATCAGGAAAAGGCTGAGGATGTAACTCAGGGGTAAGGTGCTTGCGTAGCATGTATGAGACTATGTTCAATCCCCAGTGCCAGAAAAACAAGACAAATCAGGAAAGGGACAAAAGAGGAAGGCTGCCTGTGAAAGAAGTAAGGAGAATTGGGGATGTTGCAAAGGATTGAGGGCATGCCATGCTGAAATTTAAATTTACCTCATGAAGCTCTTCTCTTCCATAAGCTGAAGATGCAGTAGGCCAGAGAAGACAACCGGCAGCCCATGATTGTTGGTTTTGGCCCAGGTTGGTTTTGTTTTGTTTTGCTTTTGGAGTTGTCAACAGAAGCACTTGGAGCCACTAGAAGTTAGTTAAAAAACCATTTGGCAGTGCCTTTCAAAGACAAACAGACACTCTGTGACCCTAATTCAACTCCTTGAAATGTACTCAATAAAAATGCTTATACCCTTTCACCACAAAACATGAAGGTACCGGGCTGGGGATGTGGCTCAAGCGGTAGCGCGCTCGCCTGGCATGCGGGCAGCCCGGGTTCGATCCTCAGCACCACATACCAACAAAGATGTTGTGTTCGCCGAGAACTAAAAAATAAATAAATAAATAAATAAACATGAAGGTACCATACTCATAGATGAACTATTTGTCAGAAGCCCAAACAGAGCAATGTAAATACCTGTCAACAGAAAGATGGATAAACAAATGGAACTCTGTTGGCATTGAGAATGAGCCATCTGCAACCACACTCAACAACATGGATGCATCTTACACGTACAATATAAGGAGAAAGATGCCAGGTCTAAGAGTACATTCCATGTGAACTAGTCTCTTAAAGAGTCAGAGGGCTAGGGGCTGGGGATGTGGCTAAAGCCATAGCATGCTCGCCTGGCATACTTGGGGTGCGCTGGGTTGGATCCTCACAACCACATAAAAATAAAATAGGTTCTGTCCACTGAAAACTAAAAAATAAAAAAAAGAGAGAGAGGGCTGGGTTTGTGGCTCAATGTAGAGCGCTTCCTAGCATGTGTGAGGCACTGGGTTCTATCCCCAGCACCACATTAAAAAGAACTAACAAAAGTATTGTGTCCATCTACAACTAAAAAAATACAAGAGTCAGGGTAGAGATTCCTGACTGGCATGAGGTAGGGAGGTAGTGACTGGAGGAGAGAGCAATAGAGAACTTTAGGAAGCAGGTCATAGATTTTGTTCTATTCTTTTCTCCCCGCTATTTTGCACACTGTTTGAATATTTCCTTTCTTCACTTAACAGAGGAGAGTGTTTCCTATCAGTCCTTAAAAGACCCGTCCTCCTTTTTTGTTGACTGCATTTCATTCCACTGTAGAGATGTACTATTGTTTAAAGCTTGTAGTAAAACACATATTAGCCATCTTGCCATCTTTAATATAGAAAAAAAAGAATGAAAAAAGTAAAAGAAGTTTATGGAACTTACAGGACACCATCAATCATATTTTGTGTGTTCTAAAAGGAGCATGGAAAGAAACAGCTTATTTAAAGAAAGAATGATAAGCCTACTCAAATATGAAAAGAGAAATATCCAGATCCATAATGCTTAAAGAACTCAGTTGACCATAAAGAGATCTTCACTGATACAGGTTGTAATCAAATTGTCAAAAGTCATTAAATATAGGGAATTCTGAAAGCAGTAAGAGAAAAATCGCCATTCAATTCTAGTAGAGCTGCCATTATCTTACTGTATGAGTGGATTTCCCAGTGGGAAGCTTGCAGGCCAGGAGGGAATAGCATGGCGAGTTCCAAGTGCTGAAGGAAAGAGTGCCAACCATGAACACTACACCTATCCAAGTTGTTCTTCAGTAATGAAAGAGAGACTTTTCCAGAAAAACAAGCTGAGGGAGTTTATCACCGTTAGATCTGCTTTTCAGGAAATGCTAGAGGGATTCTTTGAGCTGAAATGAAAGAACATTAGCAAATGACTTACAAAGGTATAAAACTCACTGGTAAAGGTAAGTACATAATAAAAATCAGAATAACACTGTGATGTGGTATGTAAATCACTTTAGCATAAACATAAAACACAAAGGTATGAATACTTTGTTAATGACTTAATGATTCAAAAGATGTAAACTGTGGGGCTGGGGATGTGGCTCAAGCGGTAGCACGCTCCCCTGGCAAGCTTGCGGCCCAGGTTCGATCCTCAGCACCACATACAAACAAAGATGTTGTGTCCGCCGAAAACTAAAAAAATACTAAAAATTCTCTCTCTCACTCTCTCTTAAAAAAAAAAGATGTAAATTGTGATAGCCATGGCATAAATGGGAGGGATAAGTATAAGTGCAGATTTTATGTGCAACTGAAATTAAGCTGTCAGACTCTTATGATGATAAGATGTGCATATGGAAATTAAAAAAGACCTGTAGCAAATATATAAGTGTACACAGGAATAAAAACATACTACCAAATTATATGTACCCAAAACATAACACCACAAAGAATGTAGCAAGAGAGGATGAAGGAAGCAAAGAAACTACAAAACAAAACAGTTAATATCAAGGCAGTAATAAATCCTTAAACAACAATTTAAATAAGTCAAAAAGCAGAGAGTGCCTTGATTAAAAAAGAACATGCTACTAACCGTATGCTCACTTTTTTTTTTTAAAGACAGAGTGAGAGAGGAGAGAGAGAGAGAGAATTTTTAATATTTATTTTTTAGTTTTCGGCGGACACAACATCTTTGTTTTGTATGTGGTGCTGAGAATCGAACCCGGGCCGCACGCATGCCAGGCTAGCGCGCTACCACTTGAGCCACATCCCCAGCCCCTGTATGCTCACTTTCGAATGGATATCTTTTCTCCACCTCTGCATTTACACCTATCCACCTTGTGATTGTAAATGAAGAGGTGAGAAAAGATAGTCCATGCAAAAGTAACCAAAAGGGAGTGGGGGTGGTTATACTTTTATTAGCGAATTATGTTTCTTGTGTCAAAAATAGTCACAAGAAACAAAGAAAATTTTACAAAGGGGTTGTGATTCATTAAGAGGATATGAAAACTATTGATATAGCACCCAACATCAATGATCTAAATATAAAAGTGAATACAGAATGAAGGGAGAAATAGTGATAAAATAATAGTCTGGATGTTCAGTACCCACTTACCATAGTGAACAGAGCATACAGACAAAAGATCAATAAGGGATCAATAAGGGATCAATAAGGGGTTGTGGCTCTGTGGTAGAGCGCTTGCCTAGTATGCGTGAGGCACTGGATTCTATCCCCAGGGCCACATAAAAATAAAAACAAAAGTATTGTATCCATCTACAACTAAAATACATAAATATCTTTTTAAAAAGATCAATAAGGAAGAGCACACTTGAACAACACTATAAACCAAAAGGACCTTACAAACACAGGGCATTCCATACACATTCTTCTGAAGTACACTGGGAACATTCTTTGGGATAGATCACGTATCAGGCCACAAAGCAAGGTTTAACAAATTTAGGAAGATTAAAATAATTCCAAGTATCTTTTCTAAATACAATGGGAGAAGCTAGAAATCAATAACAGGAGAAAAGGGCTAGGGATGTGGCTCAAGCGGTAGCGTCCTCGCCTGGCATGCTTGCGGCCCAGGTTCCATCCTCAGCACCACATACCAACAAAGATGTTGTGTCCACCAAATACTAAAAAATAGATATTAAAATTCTAAAAAAAAAATTAAAAAAAAATAACAGGAGAAAAAATCACAAATTTGTGAAAATTAAGGAGCACACTTGTGAACAACCAAGAAATCAAAGAAAAAAGCTGGGCACAATGACACATGCCTATCATCCCAGTGACTTGAGAGGCTGAGCCAGGAAGAAGGGGAAGGCAAGTATGAGAACAGCCTGGGCCACTTAGATAGACCCTGCCTCAGAGAAAGAGAGAGAGAGAGAGAGAGAGAGATCTTAAATGATTAAGTGGAAACTCAACATACCAAAATTTATGGGATGGGGCTGGGGATGTGGCTCAAGCGGTAGCGTGCTCGCCTGGCATGCGTGCGGCCAGGGGTTGGATCCTCAGCACCACATACAAACAAAGATGTTGTGTCCGCCGAAAACTAAAAAATAAATATTAGGGGCTGGGGATGTGGCTCAAATGGTAGCGCGCTCGCCTGGCATGCGTGCAGCCTGGGTTCGATCCTCAGCACCACATACAAACAAAGATATTGTGTCCGCCAAAAAAAAAATAAATAAATATTAAAATAAATAAACAAATAAATAAATATTAAAATTATCTCTCTCTCTCTAAAAAAATTTTTATGGGATGCAGTAACA